ACCTTGCACAGCAGGCTAGTGAGGCTTATAGGCCTATAGCTGCCAGGCGATTATCGGTCACTAGTTTTGTAGATTGGCGTGACAATCGCTTCTTTCCAAGCACGGAAAAGGCGGCCTTCTTCCTCGTCGGGCGCTGACGCGCGGAGCAAGTTGATCTTGTGCAACAGTTGACGAATGTCCTCCACCGTGGAGAGGCTGTTCGCAGTTCCACCTTGACAAGAGTAGATGTGACAAAGACGCTGGGAATGAATATAGACCCGCGCGGTGTTCTCTGCAAACTTCACAAACCACTGTTGGGTCACTCGTGGTTTCTCCGATCCTGTCCCTCAAGGAGAACGCGGACGACTTGTTTCTGCGGCAACGTCTCATGTATTTGAACAGCACGTTTTTGTTTTTCAGAGCGAGGTCTAGGATGGTAGCTGGTTTTCGTATGTTCCGTTGGCAGATTTCTGATTTACAACGATTCCGCATTTTACGAAATGCCAGCTCGCCTTCTGTATTCTCTGTGGCCGACTTTTTGGAGAAAGTTGGAACCTTTTTCCAGAAGTCGTCGACTCCTTTTTTGCAGCCTGCGGCTCATCCGTGTGCGTGCTGGTTTTTTTGGGACGAACATCGCGTCAGCCAGTTTGCCCTCCATCTTATGCACACGATTTATGAGGGTTTCCAAGCCAGTGTATAGTTATGATTGTTAATAATATGTATGGAAGAGGGCTGACTAGTGAGGCAGGAATCGAAATGTTGGTTAGCGCTACCGATCAGTTTGAGGTTGCTTGGAACTCTCCAATAACCGGTCTTGGGTAGCGATGGGTTTAGTGCTAGGCATTTCAGCTCCGAGGCGCTTGCTTGGACACACTGAGGGGAAGATTGACGTAGAATCAGGGTCTAAAAATTATTTAGAGCAGAATGGGTTGGTTTCATTATCGGCTAATGTGATCTAGAGTTGACGATACTTGGTAGTAAGACAAAGAGGAGGTAATCATTCAGTCCACAGTTTGGAACATATTGGAGCACCTCAGGCCCAGCCTTGGTCACCGATGTGATCGGGTTGTTAAGATAGGATTTCTAAGATGAGTGGCAACACATAAACAAGAACTTCAAGTAGATGATGTACAAAATTATCCCTTGGATGGATGGAAATAAGAAAAAGGAGGAGCCTAACGGGGTATTGAACCTCACCATGAGCTAAACATTTGATCTAGGGATTATTTTTATGGTAGAGGAGCCCAGTCTTAGCAAAAGTGCTAACGTGTTTAAGTATGCGTTGGTTGCAGCCTATGGTGAGGACGGCAGCACCGTTTTCGTTACTTGTGAGCTACGGAGCGTGTATCTGGAAGTAGTAAAATTCGCTGCACTGGCGTTAACAAGCTTAGGGCTCAAGAAGCCTAGTCAAGCGGGAACGCGTTAGAAGGGAGATTGAGTGCAGCTATTGATGGGACACTCCAACTAGGTAATTAAATGCCTCACAGAAAGAACTTGATGCTCTACGGACGGGCTAGGGCCCCAAAATATCTTAGAACACCCGACATTATGGGTCTTTAACTAAACTGAAATCACCTGTCATCCTATATCGGCTTTCCTCTGACTCTTTAGATTTTTTGGCTCAATTATAATCCCGCTGGACACAGAATTTGACACCGCTTTTGATCGCCCCGAACAAGACATCCGTTACGAGGCCGTCCGGATGCCGAAATATGTCAGTGCAATGATGACACGGCCCTCCGATACTTAGTCCGATGGCCCATCCGCGCCCATTCCCTCTATACTGTGTACTGTCCCCTCTCGCCCTCTCGGGACTCTAACTGTAAATAGAAACACACTACTTACCTAATCGGTCGGATAACTCTAACCCTGATGCTTCACTAGATCCGTAGTTCTGGTTCATGTTCTCCACAATCTGCAGTTTTCTTATTCTGTGCCAGGTAGGACAACTTAGTTTTGCCTCCTCAATTTTTGCAGTTGCCCGCCATCTTCAAAACGCAACTATCGAGGTCTGGCTTAATTTTGGTGCCTCCTAACATATGAAAAACCTAATATCTGTGTTCCTCTACCCTCAATGCCCACTATGTCCAGATCGTGCCGATTTTGGCAACATCTTGGCTGTGTTAGATCCTGCCCTCTCAATGTATTAATAATGATTTTCATTTTGAAATATTTGGTGGCGTACCGTCGAAAATGATCATGCAATTACAGCCAGAATAAAAGCACGACTGGCGGGTTTTGTGGGCACCGATGATTGCGCGGAAAAAAGGCGTTACCATAAACACTGAGGATTATCCGATAAAGATTTGGTCACACTCAAACCGGCGTGGACGGAAAAGCGCAGTTACTATGACTCCATCTTTCTTTTAGGGAAAATATCAAGCTGGGAGAAGACCATATCGTTGGGCTTTGAGGGCGGCGGAAAAAAACAACGGATGGAAAACAAGAGGCCTCCTTCCTGGTACGTGATAAGATAACTTCATTTTACGAAGTATGAGTAACCAGAACAACAAAGCTTACGCGCTAACAGGATCGCCACGACCTGCAGGTCAACTTGAATTAAAGCCGAAAACATTCGTTGAGGTCTTGCGGCCTTTTACTAAAAGGCTTATGTTGAGAACCACGAAAAGCGTAAGTAAGGATGATGAAGTACGGCGATTAGCAATGCGGATAAAGGGGCATTAGGATTTCTAGAGTCGCAATGTGCGGTGAAAATGCAGAGACTCACCAGTTTTGTTGTTGGAGTAAAGTCGCGTGTAAAGGTTTCTCGTAGACGAAGCCGGTGCTAGCGCAGAAGACGGAACATAAAGTACACAGAAAATGACAAAGATTGTGAGGAGCAAGTCTGCTTTTTCAAGTGCTGGATTAGGGAATATTTTTAGAGTACAACAGCAATAGCTATATCGTCTTTCTCCGCATGAAATGAAAAGGAACACTAACTCGCGACCTACGTACAAAATGCTTTCAGTCATAAAAGTAAACCAGGGAGTTCGTCGAAATTGGTACATTCGTTGTATTTTCTTACGTTAGCCAGCACATGCTCTATTGGGTACATGACAAGATTTCATCCGCACCATTATATTGACCGCTTGATAGTGGCTTAGGAGGAATAAGTCGGATTATGGGCTATGACAGTAGAAGGTACAGTATGCTGTTCAGTAGTTTGGAGTTTCGGTGCAACTCCAGCGGAGTGAGATGACCCCCTGTGCTTCATCTCGTAAACTGATGCTCACAAGCGAATCGGCGGCGATCGGTGACCTCAAAAACTTTCTCAATCAAGAGAAGTTCTATGAGCAACATATCACTGAAAGGTGCGGAACTTAATCTTCACAAAATTTCCAACCTCCAAACTCCGTAGTTTCTGCGATATTAAATTCGGTTAACTTATACTGAACGGCCGCTGAGCCATGGTGACCGCTTGGTGTTCAGCAAATGGAATCGATTCCTTGAAAATGAATGATTTTTAAGATAACCACTTCATGATTGAGATTGCCTCTGTACAGTGAGTTTCCTTGCAATTTCAGTTTAAGATGACTTTTTAAGTTAGCGAAACTTCAGGGACATTGATTACCTCGATTTGAAAAAATGTGCATAATTGAAACAAGATATGGCGACTTGCGGTATAAGTTGAATCGTTTACAGTGGACGGATATTGCGGGTAGTCCTGCATCTGTGGACGTGAAAAACGACGGGGTGTTCACCCTGTAATCAAATTTTGTTTTTATCTAAGGATTGACTAAGCGGATGTCAAATCACGTATTTTCGGACCCATAGAATAGCTCCTCCCTCTGTGGACACGGTATATTCGGAAAACTCGTGCCAGGTGTCATGAGCGTAGGACTGTGGATGATAGTGCCCTCTGCCACTAAGTAAAGTTTTCTGGTGCATTGCTTGATGCTAGCATGGGATAATACATGTGTTATGATGATGATACTGATAATGTTTATTCCCAACTTGTGGTGGCATGCCGTCTGGCATGATCATGCGTTTACGGTCAGAATGGGGCATGAATGAGGGATATGCGGGTAGTGGTGACTGCGCGAAAAGGGGACAGTGTCACAAGCAGTGGGAGGTACTCGATTAAATAATAATAACAATATTTTTCTTTTGCAACTTATAGGGAACAATAGGCATGAGGTCCGAGTAATTCAGTGACTCAGTTGGCTGACATGAACTAAAACTGGAAAACCATTGCTGGCCATGAGTGACCTTGTGCGGTTGGGTAGATGGCCGGAGTCATAACAAGCAAAAGTGGGGGTGGAGCTGGGATAATTCGAATTGGGAGAACACGGCAAGTTTAGTCTCAAAAATATGGTGCAATCTGAGAACAAGCAGACGCACTGGTTGCTCTGTTGCTGGGACGTCAGGTGTAGGGGTTAGGTTGGATGGGGACACAGAGGTGGTTGAATTTGAACGAGTAGTCAAATAGGTTGGAATGAATGTTGTGGTGGTCGTTGGGGTCAATGAAACGAGTAGGCAAGAGGGCACGGTTGAGAGGAGGAATGGAACAGTTGCGGGTGTGCTATCAAACTGAGTATGACAGTGCCGTGCCATTATTGGCCTGACATGCTTCAGTTTTTGGACAGCCCCGTGACGGACGTCACATGTGAGATGATTCGTCTTGGGTATGCAGTTCATTGAGCAGCGGTATTCATTTCCGCCTGGTCGAGGTAACAAGCTGGAACGAAACCGATATGGGATTGTTCACTTGGGATTGATCACTTGCGGCATGTGTCTTAATTGCCAGATGCAAGGTATACCAGGATATCCATAACTAGCCTCGACCAGGTTTCGGATGGCCTGCTGGTAGATATTTTCACTGTGAGTTGCACACCCCGAAGCCTGTCATTTAGTCTACACCTAAACAGGAAAGGCAACCGTAGCTTGCAAAGCGATGCACTGAAGTATTGGCTGCCGTAAACAGCTAACATGCTGCTAGGGGTAAACGATGCTCAACAAAAAATACGTAGGAAATACTTCGAAAGACAGCTGAATGAGCTTAGCTGGCGCAATCGACCCAAATGCAACTAGGGGTCCACGATGTCTATACGATCAGCTACTGCAAAGGCGGGTCTTGTCGGAATATGTGTGCCGGTGTTGTGCTAATCAAAGCACTTACGGTACGTCATCGTCTGGGGGGCTAAAAGGCGGGAAGTTTGTCTGTTTTTCGCGGAGACTGACTGTGATCAAGAATCCGTGGATGTTATACGACACACATGTACCACCTGATACCTTTGTGAATACGAGAATAGCATGACATTACATCCCCGCCGCACTTGTGCCGCAATTCTGTACACGGCAACAGCCTTCACTTGATACTGTTTGACCATCATTTCGCTAAACGAGTCAACCACATTACGCACGGGAGTAAACTGCTCTTTTTCCACGAAGGCATAGATAACCGCTAGGCCGTTACCCGAGGCATCTGCGTTCGTTACGGTTTAGAGCTTATATATACAGGCCAGACAATGAAAGTTTTGGTACAAACATGGTCGCCCAATTGACGTACGCTGGTTGTTCCCGCCCTTTTCCGGTGAAGATTGGACCACGTCAACCTCTGTCACGCATACCCACGCGGCACAATGAATGAGTGAGACATTCCGGTGCCCGCTGATCCCAAAAAGTGTCACAGTTGCTTTTGCGCCTGGATAACGATTTGCATCGGTCTTGTGGCATGCGAATCGAGTTGTTCGCTAGATTGAAGCAGCATTTTCAGGGTCGATTGACTATCAGGTCAAAAACAGGTTACGGATACCTAACTGGCTAGCACGACTGGACGAATCATCATCTGGTGGACCTGACCAAACTATCGGTCAATCGGTGGCATACTCGTCAGCGTCTGGTTTAAACAACCCGTGTATTGCTCCGTGTCACTCTTGAAGTCCCATGCTGACAGATCGCTCGCCAGCGTTCACCCTCCGGCGTTTGCCCAAGGGTTGCAGTCAGGCATCATGACACCGGACTAAGTCCTGCGTTTCCGGAATTCCACGCCTCCAGGGCATTTCCACGCACCTGAAACACCGTATCCCGACGCCGTCTTCAGCTGTCCCATCGTATGTTGGTCAACCGGAAGCAGAACGTCGAGCCAACTACGCCACCATCCAGATCCTATGTCACCAAAGACGAAAAGATGCAGAGTCTGCTATGTCCGATGGGTCGTGGAAGGATCTACATAAAGGTAAATGCGGCCTACCTCTGAGCGCCGAGCAGTATTAGAAGCAGGTGCCCTCAGCTCCAAAACACGTGGATAGGTAACATTGCCATCCGAGTGGGGCTTGATCGAGGCAGTTACAGGAGAGGAAGTATGCCATACGAACCATTTAATGGGCAATTTGTCATTAGGTCTGGACAAACTCGCACCCCGGATGCTCCGCCGATCCAATGCTAACGTGCTCGCCAGCTATTTCGATTTACTCCTATTATCGGGAAGGGGATTGTCCCCCACAGCTGTGTCGTGCCTTTATCGCCCTATTTCCGAAGGGACCATGCTCTGCAAAAATAAAAAATAAGAAAAAATAAAAAAGGAATCAGTAAGATTGTCAGCGAAAGTTTTCACACAGAAGAGGTTCTAGATGTGGTGCCAACAACCGCCTGAGGAAGATTATTCCACGCATCATCTACCTCTGCTAAAAAAACTGTTGCCCAACAAACTGTCCTGTCGCGTGTTTGTTCAGTCAGCGTGGCCAAATGTGTTAGCCAAACCCTGTCAAAACAAACGGAATATTATGGAGAAACCTACACCAAAACAGCTCTGCCATTCGTATTCCACCATAGCAATGACTAATATCCCAAATTCGGCAGCTGGTCAGTCCAAAATTAGGCAAGCTCTAATTGGTCAAAAATAGGAGCTCCTCAAGGCTCTGTTTTGGGACCACTGCTGTTTCTGATATACGTCAACGTCCTTCCAGATGTTCTTGCATGTCACTTCCTACTTTTTGCGGGCGACCCGTAATCCTGGAGTTCCAATCCAAATGCCTTCCAAATGATGTAGACATTGCAAAGCAGTGGTCGTTGTGCTGGTACCTTCCTCTGAATGTCGAAAAGTGCGTCCATATGTCATTTGGAGGAGACTCAGCGAATGCCTTTGTTATGCATGGTGAGAAAGGACCAGAAAATCATGAGGATAGATGTCAAAAAGGATTTGAATATCTGGGCCTCCTCAAACTTGTCCTCACAGCACCATGAGAAATCGGCCCAAAAGGCATTCGCCGTTTTACGGATGATTCAGTCAGCGCACCTTCTCCCGTAGTACTCACTTGGACTTTCAAATACCCTATGGGGCATACGTCAGACCGCTTCCTGAATATACCAACCAAGTTGTTTACTCAGGATGCACGAAGGACGTCACCTTCATTGAGCGCGTCCAGCGAGTCGCTACGAGAATGGTTGCCAGCCTCAAATCCGCGGACTGCGAAACGCGTCTCACGGTGCTGGACCTCTTTCCCCTGGCGCATCGTCGCCTAATTCTTACCTATGCCCTGTTGGAACAAAGCTTGGCCAACAGGTTTTTCATCGTTAACCCAGCAAACACACGGCGGGGACATGTTACGAATTTTTCCGAGCTCAGAGCGCACCCATTCATCAGGCAATTTTTTTCTCATTTCGGATAGTAGCTGCGTGGAATAACCTCCCTGCAACAGTTGTCCGCGCTGCTTCCAGAACCCAGTTCGAAGCACCACTGGACGCTTATTTATGTGAGTCCTCATGCCGTGAAACATACTGCCCCGCGCTATGTACACAAAGAGCTGTTTTGCACATCTTTTCATTTGTGCCTTTCAGGTGAAAAACAAGAACAAAACCTACCCGGGTTACTTGGGCAAAAGCCTCGATCCTGTGTATCCGTGAATATGGGCCCAAGAACTAATCGTGGTCGAGTGTCCGTCGACTGCCTTGAGCCGATGACGCACATAGAGGGCGTCGATGTTAGGTACACATTAATTACAACGCGCACCCTATGCGTCCTTGGTTGTTGTCATGCCGAAAACTAGCTTGAGGATCAGTCTAAGAAATTGTATGGTGCGTGTCGGTTGTTTCTGTTCCATAGACTGTCTAGCAAGGAATGAGTCATGCTACTCGTACATCGCGCGGCACGTTTAGGGTTTTCGAGAAAACCCTAAAGAGTAAATCGAGATGTCTGATTGCAAGATCTTCCTCCTCGGCCAATGTAATCATGCTGCCTGATACGCTGCCTCATTGTTCACGCAACCAGTGGCTAGCCCCCTGATTGTATTCCCGGCTTCTTGTGCGGAAGCCATGGGTACCCGTGAACGGGACACTTCCTGGAGTTTAGCTACAAGTGCGGTGCCAGTGAATCCGGTATTTGGCCCTACTATTCATGCTGTGTTAATATGTTGGTTATCATCCCGTCAACGTTTATCTTCAACCACTTTACCAGAGTTTGGTTCTCGTCACGTCGGGCTCACCAATTTGTTAGTGCTATTATCTTTTACTCGAAGTAATTTCAGAAGGTGAATAACTCTAACAATTAACAGTTATGTATAGTGGTTACCAGAGACACTGTTACAAATGAATAACACACAAAAAGGAAAGAGACTTATCGATTTCTTCGCTTGATAAGTTGTAGTAGATGATGCCGAGGTTTGCAGGACGCATTTGTATTGAATGCGGGTCTTGACCGAGTGTGTTGAAATCTGGCCTGTTTCTTGTCGCTTAATCCAAACGATATCGAGCCCAGACTTTTCCCGCAAAGTGGGTCGTGTGTAGGTTTGAATTGACTCCGGTCAACGCGCTGTGTGAAGTGACGAGCGTCGGCTGTCGTTGTTCCGCATATATATAAGTTTACGTTGTGAGTGAGGATGAGCTTGCATTGTTTGTCTCAGGATAAGATTCCAATAATCTCGGTTATTCGTGGGGGGGGGAATGTTCATGACAATGAAGACAGGAGTGAAACAGTGGGTGTGCATGTGTTAAGCAAATCATGTGAGTGGTTGGAGGTAAACAGTGATGAGGCATTAACCGAACTGTGAAAGCGGTTGAAGGTAAACTTTGACGAGATGGCAACCAAACTCTGGTAAAGCGGTTGAAGCTAAACGTTGACCGGATGGTAACCAACAAATATACTAGTGGCTAACTTGTCTCCTAAACAACTACTGCTTGCCGAAAACTTGGAACTGATGAAAGGAATTCTTGTATCTGAAGACAGCGCATGTAGAAAGTGTCGTTCACTGTTTAGGAGTAGAAAATTGGCTGCGTATTAAGTGAGGATGAGCTTGCATTGTTTGTCTCAGGATAAGATTCCAATAATCTCGGTTATTCGTGGGGGGGGGAATGTTCATGACAATGAAGACAGGAGTGAAACAGTGGGTGTGCATGTGTTAAGCAAATCATGTGAGTGGTTGGAGGTAAACAGTGATGAGGCATTAACCGAACTGTGAAAGCGGTTGAAGGTAAACTTTGACGAGATGGCAACCAAACTCTGGTAAAGCGGTTGAAGCTAAACGTTGACCGGATGGTAACCAACAAATATACTAGTGGCTAACTTGTCTCCTAAACAACTACTGCTTGCCGAAAACTTGGAACTGATGAAAGGAATTCTTGTATCTGAAGACAGCGCATGTAGAAAGTGTCGTTCACTGTTTAGGGGCAGAAAATTGGCTGCGTATTACCTCTAAAAAAATACGCGCCTTCTCATTGGTTCTGACTCAGTCAACAGGTAGTACACACTGAAGACCATAATACAAACCAAAGAGTCAGCTCCCGCTTGCACTGGACCTTGCAGCGTGGATGCCACAGTCTGAGAAGACTGTTGGAATCCTCCTCCCAACCTGCATCCCCCTACTTGAGTGCGCCACCCCAGCAATCTTCCCATGTACATTAGGCTAATCACTGGTCCTAGAAAACGTTCAGCATCTGTTAACCAAGGTGTTGCGTACCCCATGCTACCAAAGAATATGATTAATGTGCTCAGCTCGGTTCCCACTTACCCACAGCAGTCAAGGACAATCCCATGATTTTTACAAAGTACTGCATCTCAGAATGTAATAATTCAAGAAATGAAGAGTGTCGCTTAAAGTTTAGGCGCTGTTGCTACCGCTTGTCTTTCAGGATGGAGCCCACGTATGCACATCAAATGTGTGGTAGACTAGCCCTAGGTCCCCTCCTTGTCTCGGTATCTCTTTTTCTGCTATGAGGTTGTATCCATATAAATAGGCATGATTGTCCGGCGTCGAAGCATCGCCGTTCTCCGGTTTTGCTGTCACTGATGATGAAGTGCCCATCTCTGTTAGCATTCTTCAAGGCAGTCAGAGACAGCGACATCAGTTTTGACACTGGTACTTCGCTTCTATACGACCACAAATTCTGTTTACTTATATTTAAAGCCTTGGACTGAAAGGTGAAGGATGACACTTGGTGCTTGTCGACCACAAACACCCCAAGGTGCTTACACAGCACGAGCGCCACTGACACCGACTAACCAAATTTCTTGCGGTGTGACTTGCCAATTGCGGATGGGTGGTTACATGGCGGACGGCATCAACAACATCCAAACTATTCTCTTTCAGTCTGTGCCATTCTACAGAGGTACGAAGAGCAACACCCGTCTCGGTAGACGACGTTTCGGCATGCGTAAAGAATGGCCGAGCCACCGACGCTGATGGTGCTGGATGTTTTCCGCTGCTGAAGTACATGCTGCAAAACCAGTACCTGTTTTCCAAATGCCTCGTTACAAATTCGTTGACGTTCTCTGACAATGGCATGGTCGATGATGGCTGACAGCATGATATCATTGTTCAGCACCGATGCTTCACTACCGCACAGTCGACACCGGCAACCCTTCGGGAACATCGGTGGTCAAAAATTTGTAGACGCCTTACATTAAATGTCCACAGAGGTCATATCTCGCAACCATACACGAATACAGTCATTAATATAGCTTGATACACGTAACTCTCAAGATTCAGTTATATTCCTTTTTGAAGCGACGAGTGACACAAATTAACAAACGTGATTCGGACCTTTGAGATTCAAACACTCATCATCACCATCATAATCAGTGATAGCAAATACCTTTCGTACACCGCTGTCGTACAACCACAATTGATTTAAAGGCCTTATTGTGGGGAGACTTAGTGCTAGCCTACCATAATCATTTCGAGGTACCTACACCTCCAAACACTCCGGAAAGAACAGAACGCCATTGACATCGTCAGTGAGACGTTTAGAATGTGTTCGAGAACAAGTTAGAACAGAGTTAGAACCAGAGTGCAGGTTTTTGAGGATAAGCAACGTTTTACTTGTCTAAGAACAAGCGTGCATGAGGTGAAATGTACATACAAAAGTTCAATACGAGTATATATGGTAAGTATAATAAACACAAAATTCATGACAGGTAGTCAGCTATATCTTGCGGCGTCTCCAGTCAGGTTCGGTGGGGATCACGCGCTCATCCTGTGGTTGAGTCGCATCGGCAGTACCCAAACTTTGCTGGGTCAAAGGTTGATCACTTTGATCACTCCGAATCGGACACAAAACGGTACTCTTTTCAGCATGCGCAATGTGTGGCTTAACCATTACAGCTTCTGGTGATGGACACTTTTTTCGTTTGGAGCCTCCGATGCGCAACCAAACACTTGCTTTCTAGTCACCCCGCCGAGCAGTGGTTGAGGCAACGGTTGTGGTAGGCATTAATACGTCTCAGTTCCACTGCTCGAAGTGTCCATGTGTAACAGGCAGCGCTTTAACCTTATATATACGTCCCGTGAGATTCAAGGAAATGCCGCTTGAACGCCATAGGAGTCTCAAATTAGCAAACTCAACTCTAGACTTAGGGACCATTGCAATGACCTCATCCGTCACACTATATTCGGAGCTAATACAACTTCCAAGATCCGGAAAATGCTCCACAAATTCGAGTGTCTCTCCCTAAATTGTAAATGGCGCGTCGAGTGGCTGCATGTCCAGAAGCATGATCTTACACTGGTCAGTTCCTCCGAGTTTGTTTGGACACAGGTATTCGTCGCTCTTTTGGCAGATTCATTGGTACACGTTTCCCGGTTGTTCGGTGCGGTGCTTTTTGAATTTAGTTCTCTAATGTACGCGTGTGAGGTTTTTATGTATCTGGATGTCCACTATGTGTGCTGGGGTGGTTCTTACGTTCTACGTAAAAGCCACGGTATGAAATCACATGGTGTCTTTTCGACGTGTACTGGGCAGGGCTTAACTGAAATTGGTCAAAGGTTGCAGACAAATCACGTGTTTTCTGCTGCACGTTGTGGAATGTGGAGCAAAACAAAGCACGAGAGAGGCAGTGGATGCGGATGTACTAATCATATGTGTGCTGGGGTGGTTCTTACGTTCTACGTAAAAGCAACGGTATGAAATCACATGGTGTCTTTTCGACGAATAGGTTTTCGTCGACAGCTATTTGACACCACGGTTTTGAAAACCCTCCAGCGTTCGTCTCATCTCGCCCCTCACGAAGTTAAACAGAAATGGAGAATAGAAAGCTTTTGGAAACTTTTGGACAGCTGTTCGCATAATCCAACATTCAAAAGTATGAAAGCACAAAGAACTTATTATGTTCACGAACTTTCGAGAGAACACAGGCAGCTGAGTGCAGCTCACCTTGCGGAATTCGGGAACACTGGTTTTGTGTGTCGTATATATGTATGGTGTTGTTCTATCATGTGACGGAGTGTGAAGATTTGGTCTACACAGCCCCCACCAGGCCGAAGTGCTGATTGCTGCTGTTGAGTCACTAAGGCGACGAAAAACAATTGACGCCGAGTTTCGTTACAACGGTTTATCACCGCACTCATTCTTGGCCTATTTTTCGAAAATGGCACTATCAGCGGTTCTCTCCAGTGGTTTGAGACAGCTGCCTTTTCACACATGTACACAAATATACAGACAAGCGCTGACTGAGAACTTCTCCACCATCATTGAACGAGTGGGAAGTCATCCGAACCAGAAGCTTAAGAAAACACACGCGGTCATGACCACAGCCGGAGCCGTAGGTTCATCCTCTAGGTCCCATTTCAGTTGTAAGATCATGGTCATGAGAATAGTTGTTCAAAATGCTGGGCCCAGTGGTCGAGGCGTCCTTCTGTATGGAAAATAGTCGCGCCACTTTGGTCCTTGTGGCTCCACTGACTAGCGGTTTCCGGCGGCCCGTCGCATAGATCAACTGAAACACTATTCGGGCATTCCTCGCTTTCTGGTCCGCTTTCTTTTTCTCAGCCTTCCGCGCCTTCCAGGCGCGCAGGCCCGTTTTCAATTAATGTCTTATAATTATTTGGCCAAATTATGTTCGGGACCGACGAGACCATTCCTATGAATCTGAAACACTAACGCTGTCCTGTCAGTACTCGTGTAGACCGGTTAGCGCCATGCTGCGGGCAAAACTCTCGGCACTGTGCAAATGTGTGGCCCTCTCGTTTCAGCACCAGTTGATATCTGACGATGTAGCAATTGGAAGAGACTAGAAGCCGATTCTGATAAACTTATCTTACTAATGAATGTGCTAACCTCTCAAATGCCAAGTGTAGCGACCCGGTCACCCATATACTTGACTGTTCAACTCAGTCGCTCACTGGATCGCGAGGCTTGTCTTTTTTCTCATACGCATAAACACGTCGCGTTAAGCTGACTCATCGGACATCGATTGTCTGCACCGCCTAGTCGGCGTAGCAATCACTCATGTGCCGACGCGCCCACGTATACGCACTGGGACCTACATAAAGGGAAACCGAACCCAGTCATCACACACAGACTCGCGCGCACGCAGTGAGCAAGGAGTCAGCCAAGCACTCCAAGTCCACGGACAATCATGGAACACGAGTAGCAGCCATACTGCGAAGGAAACACGTTCTCACCGTCCGGAACTCCCACATCTGATAAGTTCCCTTTTGACTTTCTCCACATTTAATATTGTCCGTTATTTTATACGTGCTGCAAATCGGTTCTGTAAACTACTGTCAACCACAGTAAAGACAGCTGGAAGTGCATGTATTTCCTGAGTTGTATTATGGCCATCTTCAGCTATGCACCAATATAAGCACCTTTGTTTGCGCGGCCCTGGAAAAATAAGGGAGAAGCGACTTCGAACGACCGCGTAGTCGAAATCCACAGAGTGTTCCAAAACGAACAGCAGTCAGTTATTAATCCATGCCATCAGTTAGTGATGGAGATGTGATGAATTTGGGTTTGCAGCTGGCACGTTCTCGGAGAACACCATGTAGCCAGACGAATTCTGTTATTTCGGTAATTAGAGATAGATCAATAAACTCTAGCACCCTTTCTGTGCCTAACCTTCATGCCACCAGAAGAAAGCATGAATGCTGGGATACTGCCAAGTTGCCCAAACCTAGGCAGGAGAAGTCGAGAGGCAGAGGTCGGGTTCGAACTTCTGGTCAGCAAATTCGCCCTCTAACCACTGAGCCATCTCACCCCTGCATACAAACAATCTACGGTCAGTACCTAGCTGAAGCCATCGTTCGCCATTGTCCATACGTATCGATTCCAATTCATTTCGACCACCTTATTGAGTCTCAGATACGCCAAACCTGTCCACTTGTGTATTCAGACCCCCAGCAACCACGACGGTATTGAACACTGGTGCCATGGTGTCGATGATGATGACTACCAGCCGAAGTCGTACGTCATTGGTATCCCTAATACGCCATCAATGCCAATCTCTGTACACCTTAATGACGGCCGTCCAAGTTTATTTCACCTGACGGTAGTTTTCCATTGTAGGTAATAGCAATACCTCCAGTGCCCCAGCTAGGTATGATCCCGCTGAAGCGTTGCAAGCCTAATAGGAATCAGCTGCACACCTAACTCTGGACACTTCTGGGGAAAGCGAAAGCTGGTGAGTGAGGTCGATTGTTCAATAAGCTTCATCAATTGAACATAAGCAGCATGCTAACTGAGGCTTTACCTTAGTCTTGATCTCATAGTTTGGATTGGATCGAGGATCTTCCTCAGTCTGAACAGCCGCTTAATGTCGTATGCATCAATGCAGTACGCCATGCACAGCATCTTGAGGTTAACATATGCGAATTAACCTGGTCAACTTCTACAAATCTATGCCATTGTGTCGGCCGACTGATGGAATGGAAGCCAGGCATTTTGCTCCTCTGCACTGAACTAGTTTTCAGACGGTAGAACCTACTCCTGTATGCAGCACCACCCGTTTTTGGTCAGGGACTGAGCCGACTGCGGACAACCGTCACTCTCCAGACAATGAGCTCTCCTACATGGGAAACATTTGTGATGGTCAGTAAAGCCGATGAAACCGTCCTCAATTGCTCGACTTTTGGCTGATTCCTATTCTGAACTCGATACGATTAGAACGCACTGCCTCCAGACTGTCTTGAACGATCAGCATAAGACCTTCCGCAGCCCCAAAGGCTCGGAACTGCAAGCTCCCTTCAAGTGCTACCGATTTCCTGATCTCGACGTCCTCTCTTCCACCTCGTTTGAAGCCATCGGTCAGTATTCAGCTGATTTCGCCCCTATTTTGCGAAGGTTACCTAATTTAGACTGCGACTTCAAGCTCAGTAATATTCTCTTTATCACGCCCGATTCGAACAAATTAGGTCCTTGTTTGTGGGTAAGCAATAAACCTCCGATTTTATTTTTCTCTAACTCTTGCACATTTTCAAGCTCTGTGAACAAAATAGTCAGCAGACACACCCGGGTTGTCAATATCTTGCAACATTTCTGCGGGTGCCTGCATACGGATCTTTTCAAATCGTGTAGAGTTGTGGTTAAGAGTACATCTTGTCACAAGAACGCTTTTGTCTCATTTTCCGAATGAGGTTCCAGAAGATCTAACCGCTCCTTCTTTCTTTCAGTGTTGGTTCGCGCGCGGCACCGATTGTGAAGTACTGAGTGCTTCCGGAAGCTTGCGTAAAGTAACAGAAGCTTGATGGATGATGGTTTGTGCTTCCTAACTGCCAGCCGGTTTTACTTCTCAGATGACTGGAAGAATGTGCGCGAACATTTGTATCGGAAGAAGACGGCCAGCCTTAAGCGCCGACAGCTTGAAGTCTTGATTCGCTCTGAGACAGTTCGTGATCTGTATCACGATGTTGTGGAATCAATTATTGATTTGTATAAAGGTAGTTGATAGATTCATGTAATCTGTTTGATGTCTGCATTTATGTAGATAGTGGAACTGGGCTTCACCCGTGGCAGCACTTCCGTGCAGCGGCTGATAAACTTGCCGAGTTGCACAAATTCATGAAGCTGACCGTCGCCAGGGTGTATGCACTGGGTACGGCCGAGGGTGCGGCAACTTACTCTTATGATTTCTTCGAGAAACTCCGAGATGTCCAAGCTCATTCCAATAGTCCGACAGTAAGTCAGTCACTCGTTACTGTTTCCATAAAGTGTCCGAGATGCAGCGATGTCGTTCGTGATGGTTATAAGGAGTTTCTTCCCTCCAAGCTATCGCCTACTCGTCTCTGCTAATCCAAAACTCAATGTTTAAATCCGTTTCTTTTCTTTGTTCGCTGAATCTCGAACCTCGTTCATTCTACTCAGTCGGTTGTTATTATATTTGTATTCTAGTTCGCATTTTCCGTTGATCGAGATTCGACGGGCTCCCCTTACAGCCTTGTCGACTTGATTTTGAGGCTTTGCGGTTGTTCTCTTCAGTCCAAATAGCGGGTGGGTGTCGGGTACCAGACAGGATCAGTGACGCCTCAGGCATTACGAATTTCCGAAACGGTTGTATCTCTCTAGATGCTGGGCACACCCCAGGAGAGTGATGGGTGATAAATTATTGGTCTCCCATTTTCTAAAGCAACCACTCTATAGGGCCATCAGATAAGGCCAGTGTTCCTGTAAATGTGTGACCATACGAAGGTCACAGGCTGAGAATGTTCACACATTCTAGCATTGCATTAGTGGCTTATGTAGCCCTGTAAACGATGAATCCGTACCAGTAAATCTACCAACCCCGTTTACATTTTACGCGGTCATGTCCGGTAGGGCTTGATTTAGCACCATTCAAGAGTAATTTGCACATCCATGTTTTTAACCGAGGCATTTGAAACCTGCTAATGGAAATATTCGAAATTTTACTATGGTCTATAGAACCAGAGCATTTATTACACCCCATCCTTATGTCTGTAACCATCATTAGTACCACGGTATCTAGACTCAGTACTGGGACAATGTCGACATCATAGATGGCTCCAGTCAGACATAAACTACATTAATCAAATCTCTAGGTTGGCCATATGCTCCAGAAGTGACGTAAACGAGGTCGGCAGCGTAATTGTTTTCGCTCATTCCGGAAACGTTTTTGCCATAGCTAAATTGTTCACAGTTGGCCAAATTCCTGATGTTTTGCACACTAGAGCTTCAGAGGAACTTCCAATCAAGTGTTTTTAAGAAGCTTAGTGGGTGTATCAAGAACCAGCCGGAAGGAAGCTTCTGAGCCCAGGCAAGCACATGCGAGGTCACGGGGACCTCATCCTGGAAGTCGCACAACACCAACAACACCCAAACTCTTCGTGATCTCTTTCACGCCTTTTCTCCAGGTTATGTACTGTCCACTTCGCGGTTTGCGTCATCCTGAAGGAGGCACGGAGAACAACACTCGTCTCGGTAGACGGTGTTTCGGTATGCGTAGCACATGACCGAGCCATCGTAGTCGATGATGCTGGATGTTTTCTCGGATTGGTGTGCCTGCAACACAACCAAATACCCGTTTTCTAATCAACTGGCTACTAACACGCGGACGCCATCCACTAGGCACGCTTCTGAGGCATCGGTGATCGAAAACCTGAAGACGCCTCACATCATCTGTCCGCAGAGGCCATGTCTCGCACCCATACAACAACACAGCCCTTACTGTAACCTGGTGTACACGACCCTTAAGATTCAGTGAGATACGCAAGTGACGCAAATTGGCAAACGTGATTCGAGCCTTTGAGATTCTTGCACTGACTTCATCAGACACGCCTGGGCTAAGACAACTACCGAGGTATGTAAAATTTTCCACAACTTCCAGTGGTTGCCCTTGAGTTGTAAGGAGTGTGTTCAGAGGCTGTACGTTCTGAAGCATGACTTTGCACTTTGAAGTTGTAAGGTGCCTGCAACGATTTGAACGCCGGGGTTTTGAAGACCTCCCAGTGTTCGCCTCATCATTCCATCATCGACTTAGTTGAACGAGAATGCAGAGAGTGGACATCCATTCCGGATACTTGTGAGACTAGAAGCGGATCCATATTCACAGTCCGTCTGTCTGTTGAAGGCCAGGTTTCCGGATTGCAGGTACGAGGTGACCAGCTGAATTGCTTTTCGAAGTACTTTGCGCAGCGGTCCAAACGTTCTGCTTTGTTACATGTCAGGGAGCCATTTCGGTTTCTGATTAGCACGCTGACAAAGGGTTTCAGAGGGCCAGTTGAACTTATCTAGTGGAACAGCTTACGACGTTTCCAGCATCATTTTCATCTTCCATTTCTTCGGGTGTACCAAGGTTCTTCGTCTGCACAGAAACTCAGTTTCACCTGCGCCGGGTGGAGTTGTGGTTGTAGCCAGGGGAAATATGTTGCTGGGCTTCCAGCAAAGACACAGTCTTACCAGAGATTGTGATGTTTGGGTGAGGTTGGCTGGGTTGTACCGCAGACAGAAGTTTCGGCTTTGAGCAGCGCTTTGGATATTTTTTCCTCAGTGACCATTTATGCGCGCTATCGGACGGACCTCCAGGAGTTCGAAGAGCTAGTTCAGACATTTTCGTTTGATCTCTGGGTCCACTAGCTTCTCATCGGCAAGTCTACGCGTCCTGCGTAGACCTGAAAAGCGCAATGAAGAGCAACAGCTAACAAGTGAATGGTCGCAGTCCACACTGGTGTTCCAGTAGGAGAGGAAAGCAGTGCTCGACCCCCATCACCGACAACCGACGGCGATGCGGTCTATTTGGATCTATGGATGGTTTGTTGGTGGGCACCACGTCGGAAATCCGTACTGCCAAGAAACAGTCTGCGATTGACACACATCTGAAGCAAGCGATCTCCGTTGTCCGTGCGTTTCCCGTCCAGTCCAGGACGACCACCCAATCCGGTCTCAGCAGCGTTTAGTCTGCCTACCTGGGCATTCGTGTCATCAGCAACCACAACGATGTCTGAGCTTTCAGCTCATTGTAAAAGAGCACTCAGAATCTCACAGAAGCTGTCCTGTCAGGGCTACAGTCAGTTGAAGCGTAAGCAGACACGATAAACAAGGTGCGATGTACCTCACTTTCTCTAGATTCTCTCACAGACGTTGCCAGACGAAACGCGCAGAGGCGACTATCAATCGATACCCAATCAAGCATAAACAATTCCGCTCGGTTGCTCGATACAACACCCACACCAACATATTCAGTTGCAGCCGGCTCTGCAACACCAGAGGTGTGCAGTCGGAACCTGGAGGAGGACGATGGGGCAGTCAGCTGAATCACAGTGCTTGCGTCCTGCGTCTTTGTTTCTGACAGACAACATACATCCATGCAGATAGAATCCAGCGTACGAGCAGGAGCCACATGCTGACCTGCTTGCTTCGATGTAGACAGGCTTCTCTAGTTTGAAAGCAGACTTCGGAGTGTTTAGGGTTGTTATTGAAGTGGGACGTACAAAAGCTGCAGCTGAGTGCAATGCATGGCGAGCTGGGACCTGCGGAGAACTTATTCAAGTTTGGGTGAAGTAGGGTGTAAGAGGGAAAACGTGAATGTGTAAGGAGTGAGGCATCAGAGGTAGCGTATTTCCGCTTACCCGCCCTACTGTATGCACCAGGTAATGCGACCCGGCTGATTTCACCACGCGACGGCCGAACTGGTATGAGGGTATTGTTAGCTGTGGGCTGGGATACTGCCAGGGCGCCCACACTTGGACAGGAGGACGGCTAGAGTCATCAACCAAAGCCTTTGGCTCAAAATCCTAACCGCAACTCACCGGCGTTTGACGGTAATTGAAAGCACATTACCATTTTTATAGAACAAGTCGCCATGCATTTTCCAACCCTCACCCCAGAGGGCCAGGAGACTGTGTTCGTCAGACCTCTACCGATTGAACAACCTGGTATGGGATACTCTGCGAGTGTCGCACGGGCATCCCCCAGTATAGATCCACGGGTCGCCGAGGTACACAAACCGCCACACCACGGTAAGGTCCACTCTCTTCGCGACGGACTGCAGGATCGCCGAATAACGGAACATCGTGGTTACATTTTTGCCAGTAGAGGAAGCCGTTTGTCTACATGATGAGGAAAAATCTCATTGTACACTAAAGGTAGTAGGTTTACTGCTGTTTTTAAGGCCTCAGGGTGAAAGATACTCATGTTTTTCAAAGACGAATTTTGTTTCAGGAATTGAAATGGATGTGGGACCCCTAGCACTTAGCTGTAGCACCCTTCCGGTGCCTAACTGCCATGGCACCGGAAGGAAGCACGAGGGCTGCGATACTGCCAGGTTGCCCAAGCCTAGACAGGGGGTGTCGAGTGGCGGAGGTCGGATTCGAACCACGGATCTTCCGGTCAGTAAATTCGCGCTCTAACCACTTGAGCCATCTCGCCCCTAGAAGGGCCTTGAAAGGGTGAACAAGCCTCCGTCACCCCAAGGCGCTTATCAGAGGCATTTATGATTGCTCAGTTTTGCCATCACGCAGTCGGAAGGAAGTGGGACGACTGCCACATTTGTAGAATAAGAAGTAGTATAAGAAGGAGCGGTCGATTTACAAACCTGGCAATTTGTGGGATCGAATGCCTGTTTGAACCGTCTTGAGCTTGTGATCAGTCGTTGGTGTGAAAACGGTTGCTTATCAACTGCTGGATGGGAACCATTTCGCTTTATCGATCGATTTCCTTTGCCTGCAGCGAGGCTTCGGAACTGTTCCGAGTCGGTGGATCGTCTAGCGAACTGGTTCACGCACTTCGTGTATTTGTTTAATCCTCATTCTTTTACTTGCCACAGCAATGCAACTTGGGTCCACTTGAAACAGAAGCCTGCTCGGCACATAACCTTGTCTTCACAATTTCACCGTCCCGCCGTGTCTTATAAACAAACGCCTTACTGGTCCTATCCACCGCACTGTGTTCATTCTCTTGGTCAAAATTGTACTTACGGACATTGGCATGCTACATATGGAACACGTTTTACAGTGTCGATTTCGTACTCATGTCACTTTTTTCGAATGCACAATATGAACTTTGTCATTTGTGTCGAGCTAGTTGCCCGCATCATCGTACTGGCGTACACGTACTGGATGTTTGTGTCTGTCATTCGTAATCTGCTCTTTCCAACACACAGCGGCGATGTTCACCTATTGTTCGTTTTCCTGTCCACTGCGCTGTTTGTCTATTCTTCTGTCCGTGTAATTGCCAATATTCTGTCGGGTTGTCGTTTGTAAACCTAACCATCGGCTGAATCAAAACAGACGCGAATGAAGGAATTTAGAAGTGTATTCGTAATGCGCTACTCATGAGGTTGCTGAAAGTTCGCCGACAGCCCCCCTTCTTAGGGCTCCTCAGGTAGGTGCAGTCCCGGAGTTTCCGTCAACCTTATGTTCTGCTTGAACCCGAATTTCACGAAATTAGCGAAACACTCATTTGCAAACGAATTTGGTTTTGTGAGAGATTCACCTGGAACCCAGCTGAATCTCCCGTCTGTAATGTTCCCAGGCAACTGGCTGTGCTGCACCAGGCTGCCTTATGTTTCAGTCTCTACGGTAGTCGAGATATCGCGATACATGTATATTCGTAATGCACTACTCACAAGGTTGCTGAAAATTCGTCGACAGCCCACGACCGGTTTCGTCCTTCTTGGGGCTCATCAGGTAGGTGCAGTCCCCGGGCTTCCGTCAACCTTATGTTCTACTTGAAACTTGAAGTTAGAAATGACTATCTTAGTCAGAATCTCCCGAATGTTCTGGAATTAAGACATTGGACGACAAAGTTAGGGTGGCTTGGTTTACCTTGTCTTGTATTAGTTTGAGTTGTATCTATCTTCCATTTGTACGTGATCTGCGGATCTACGGATTCCATACCTTGTTATGGTGGTTGGGATTCAGCGCTCTAGGTGCTCTTTCGGCTTACACTGGTTGGATTTAATTGTGTCAAAGAGACTAAAGGGGGGTCCCGATGAAGATCGCTGGGTCTTCGTACTGAGGGAAATCGTATTTCAAGTCGTACTGTCCGCTGCGATAGGACCGTAAAGGCTTGTTGTGACTGTGAGGTGGCGGGTGGTTCAGGACGATTGATTCGATAGTCTCGGAACCTGAGTGGGAAAGTCCTCAAGGAAGTGGTGAAGATCGGCTATATTGCGGATATATCATCGGGAAAATGAGAGCCACCGCTCAGCTAGCAACACATAGGGATCTGACCATCCTAGTAAAGTCATGAGGTGGTTCCTTCGGGTAACCATTTCCATATTGATGATGGTCATGATAGAGCCTTTCCGGAGAAAGGATGAATTAGGAAAAGTCTGCCATGAAAAAAAAACACTCCGATAGCCCATCAACTGACCGTGACCACCGGTGAATTATCCATCATGGTTGAAACACAACTAAAACCTACCAAATCCCCGGTGGGAGTACAAATGCACCCGTTGTGCTTAGCATCATCAACAGGTGGAGATATGCGCTTTTCTGTCTGTGTTCTCAGGCCACACCAACTCCCTGCAACCAAATAGGTCATATTGTTCGGTCACTGGCTCCGAGAAAGTCCCCCCCCCCCAAGTAAACGGTAGCAATCTCTCTCTCGTCGTTCTGACTTTACATTACAGGCCAGAGTAAGGGTAACTGAACAAAACCTTGCCCAGTGCCATCACATGGTGGTTAAATGTTTTGTATTTAAGAACTCACATCCGCTTCCTCGGCCTGGTTGATCGTGTCTTACAGCTGTTCATTCACCAGCTGAGTTCATTTGATTGTCTCAGATGCCCGTTTCTCCGTACCAGAATTTCAAAAACCCAGATAATCCCAGCATATTCTTCGGATGCCTGGTGCTTTTAATGTACTATTTAACGGTATCTACGGCTTTAGCCCCAGGACGGAATGCGCTTTACTGGACTAGAGTCCAACAAGCAGTCGTCTTTGCGCTGTTCGGTTGACCAGGTCGGTTCAGATCAAAGCGTTCTGACGCAGCAGTGTCTATTATTTGTCGTGCTCCGACAGATGGCAATTTGGGCTGAAAATAGCTTCCATCGAAATTTGTCACAGTCTCTTCGGGGCGAGTTATATGAACGGTCAATTTGGACGATTTAGTTAGGTTTCTTTTCAGGTGTGTTGCTCACCAGACAGAGGCACTTCAGTGGTGTGCTGAACATAATTTGTTTGTAGTTAGTACAACGTTTCAGTGCGTTCATATTGTTTTACCTGGATGTCCCTAACTGCAGACCAGTCTTTGTCTGAGTTGGGCCATGTGGCACTCGATGTGGATGGCTTCGATACGACTGACGTTAATTCTGGATCACACCAGGTGAGTACATGGATCTGATCACTTTCTTCCGGGGACAACTCGGTTGATGCAAGGCCTGTTAGCTCATCACCTGAAAAGCGCGTGTCTCTAGTTCAACAACATCAAGCTGAGCTGACTGAGCTTCCAGAACTCGACGGGCACAGTGGTAATAACGGTGATTTGGATGGTGAAGAGGAGAAACCGTGCTTACAGCCTTTAAACCGTCTACCCGAGGTTGTTCGCACACACCAACGAGTTCAGTCTAACTTCGGTTGGAACCGACAGTATCTCAATTGATGAGATGACGCTTTCTTTAGCAGAGCCCTATCAAACAGTTGTTCCCATTTCCTGTCGTTTTTGTTGGGCGTATTGTGATCTGGGAACCATTTTGTTGGTTGTAATACGACTTTGTACTTTTCGGCTAGTAACAAAATGTTTAAGAGGCCATGTTCAACAGACGGGCTTGTGGGTTGCATTGATTTTGGTCAATCTGTCACCCTTGTAGTGTCCATCAACTGTGGACCTAGTCAGACTTCTCGTTTCTTAAAAGTCTGCAGCTATTTGGAGTAGGAAACAGTTTTTGCGTTTCCTCATCTTTGCACGATCAACACATTCCGACTTGTTAGGCTACCTCCGTTCGGCCACTGAGCGAGGCAAAATAGACCGAAATTTAGCCATTCAGGAGCAAGCCACATAACGACCGGTGATTCAGCGCGCCTCACATCGTTTGTTCAATGTGTGGCAGGATAATGGGGTCATTATCTCAATGGTGTTCCACGTGACTCTTTCTCCTGAAGGGGGTATGTCTGTGCAACACAGCCAGTAATTCAAGCGTACCGAGTCCAAGGTCATCCTGTTCTTGATGGACTCTGTGCGGACCATGAAGTTCCTTGTCGAAGATGTGACAGATAGTAGGGAGATTTGAGCTTACCGCGGTTAGAGGGCTTATGCACCTCCAAGCTCTACTGGGCAGGCGTACACACGACACTCGCAAAGCCTTCCATACCAGTTCTGTCGATTGTTAGACGTCTGACAAACAGTTCCCCGGGCCTCCAAGTCAAGTATTGGAACACGTGTCTTAAATTGCTCCTCGGAAATGAGGAATGCGCTGGCGGCCTTATGTCAAACACCGCTACCTTTCGGTTAGGCTTTTCAGCGGGGCGTGGATTTACTGACCGAAAGGTTCGTGGTTCGAACCCGACATCTGCCTATCAACTTCCCCTGTCTAGGCTTAGGTGACCTTGTAGTATTCCAGCCTTCGTGCTCCCTTCTGCTGGCATGGTAGTTAGGCACCGAAAGGGTGCTGCAGCTGAACGCTACGTATCTCGAAACTCGCATTAGGTTTGACCCAGTCGACCGACTGATTTCCAAGGCCTAAATTGTGTTTGCCGCTTCGCACCACCTTTGGTTTCAAAGACTGTGTACCAGAGTGAAGCGCGAATTGCATTGCCCTGTGACTGCAAGACTTGGTCACTTCTGGTGTACGCTATGAAGCCTATTCAGGTTTTCACCACCGACGCCCGATAACCCTGGTCGGTACCGTCTGGAATCAGCGAATTCTAGATGGAGTGCACCAATCTGTTCACCGAGTTTTGCAACTGAGTTGCCGCTACCAATCACGATAATGGTGATAAAGATGTCTGAATACGTCATTCCTCGGGACTATGCTAGATTTCCTTACAAATGGGACATAATATAGCTGTATTTGAGCGCATCATCATCCGTATTCTCCAGAGCAATGAAACTGCTGTGTCTTGCTGAACGGTAATGCAACTCTGTATCGGTCCATGGGTCTCCTGCTCCGCCCACTATGGTATACCAAAGGCACAATAGCCCTACACAGCCCTTTATGGAGACAAAGGAAAAGTATTGCAACTGTATTTATAGGGTAGTCACAGGGTGTACCACAAGGCCGTGCTAGAATCTCCGTGAGGGGGCGAGAAGCGTCGAGTCAAAGATGCCCGATCCAGACTGGCTGGCATCCTGACCAATCAGGAGACGCCCTCGTTTGGTCCGTGTCCTGCACGTGACACATCCGTCCAAATGATGTGATGTTCGGTTATTAGGGACGACTGACCTCCGGACAGAAACCATGACGAAAACTTCACCTCAGATGACTCACTACTGTGTTTATTAGGGAAACAACTTGTGTACACTACTTCAGGCTGGCGGCCAATTTGAAGGCGTTCATACAGGGATTCGAAACCAGATATTGCGATGGAAGTCTACGGTTTCTACTGAACTCTCGAGGTTCGCGGTATAACCTCAGACTGCCACTTTTTCATAGCCTTTTCTGAATCTGTCATCGTTTGTGGCTCAAACGGTGTCAGATCAGTAACTTCAAACGACGAGTAGTATAATTGTCCCTCACTGACCGTTTTCTCCTGAAAGGAGATTTCTGTCGAGCGCAGTCTGCGCTGTTGGTCATCAAGCATATGGAAAATTGGTAGTTAGCTCGAGGTAGCTCAGGGATTCCGGCGCGAACTCACCGACCGTGGTTCGAACCAGACCCCTTCATCTTACGTCCTCCTGTTTGGGCCTAGGCAACCTGACAATAGCTCGGCAGTACCTCGTGCTTCGTTTGGGGAGCGGCATGGCAGCTGGGCACCAAAGCGGTGTTGCAGTTGAATGACCATCTCTTCATAATTTGTGCTTTACACAGTATCTACTGGTTTTCTTTCTAAAATATGGTGTCGGTTGGAAAAGTCCAGCCAGATGCTACGATGCAAGGTCACGCACTAACTAGGGTTGAAACAGTCTGTTGAAACATAAGATATGCTGCAAGGGTCGTCATCAATGGAAGGGGCGAGATGGCTCAAGTGGTTAGAGCGTGAATTTACTGACAAGAAGGTCCGTGCTTCGAACCCGAGCTCTGCCTATCGACTTCCCCTGTCTAGGCTTAGGCAACCTGGCAGTATAAGGGCCCTCGTGCTTCCTTTGGGTTGCATGGCAGCTAGGCATCGAAAGAGTATTACAGCTGAACGATTTTCTCATCAATGGAATGGTACTTACGGATCGTAAATACGTACGGCCCAATCCCATCTGTATACTAATGGTGATCGACCTAGAGGTATTTTTGAGGTTGATAATGTGGCGTATCAGCACCAATTGATGATCGAAGCGGGATGACTCAGTTTGTAGAGTGCAAATTTACTGACCGGAGGGTCCGTGGTTCGAACCCGACCTCTGCCCCTCGACTTCCCCTATCTAGGCTTGGACAACCTGGCAGCCCTCGTGCTTCCTGCGGCGGCATGGCAACTAAACACCGGTTCAGGTGTAATACTCTTTCACTAGCTAACTGCCATGCCACCCCAAATGAAGCACTTGGGCTGAGCTACTCTCAGCTTTCCCATGTTTAACACAGGAGCAGTCGAGGTGCCGGGGTTGGATTCGAACGAATGGACCTTTCGGTCAGTGAGTTCACGCCTTAGTCTTTGAGCTGTTTCGAGCTCGTGAAACTGTCAAGTGAAGGAGGTAACCGTTAATTTAGTCTTAGTTCGGATTAGTCAAGCCCCCGGTTCCCACTTAGATTCAGACTCGGATGCCATTTGATGAACCCCAACGAGGGCAAGAGATTTCGTTTGTTTTGATAGCCCTTTACTTTTTCATTGTTTGTTCCAAGCATCCAGTTGATTTCCTTCCCCAAGCTGAATCTCATGGAAAGGGAATATTTGGTCTGCCCCGAGGGGTCGCACACCTAGCCACGATTAACTGTTGTTCTGGACTCTTCAAAAAAGTGGTCTCTCTTGGTCTACATGTTGATTTCTGTTATGTTTGTTCTTTTACTCTATACTATGCCTATGATATTTAGACTTGTCAACGTGTTCACTTTCACACCGTTAAGAATTTATGATTTCGTCCGGTATCGAGGGTATTCTTTCTTGAGAGGGGACATCAGTTTCGCTGAACCATCTGACCTCATCAATGCACTGTTTCTCCCACCCGCCTAATCCAATTCAATCTCCATAAAGAGTGTTACAGCTGAACGATTTTCTCATCAATGGAATGGTACTTACGGATCGTAAATACGTACGGCCCAATCCCATCTGTATACTAATGGTGATCGACCTAGAGGTATTTTTGAGGTTGATAATGTGGCGTATCAGCACCAATTGATGATCGAAGCGGGATGACTCAGTTTGTAGAGTGCAAATTTACTGACCGGAGGGTCCGTGGTTCGAACCCGACCTCTGCCCCTCGACTTCCCCTATCTAGGCTTGGACAACCTGGCAGCCCTCGTGCTTCCTGCGGCGGCATGGCAACTAAACACCGGTTCAGGTGTAATACTCTTTCACTAGCTAACTGCCATGCCACCCTAAATGAAGCACTTGGGCTGAGCTACTCTCAGCTTTCCCATGTTTAACACAGGAGCAGTCGAGGTGCCGGGGTTGGATTCGAACGAATGGACCTTTCGGTCAGTGAGTTCACGCCTTAATCACTGAGCTGTTTCGAGCTCGTGAAACTGTCAAGTGAAGGAGGTAACCGTTAATTTAGTCTTAGTTCGGATTAGTCAAGCCCCCGGTTCCCACTTAGATTCAGACTCGGATGCCATTTGATGAACCCCAACGAGGGCAAGAGATTTCGTTTGTTTTGATAGCCCTTTACTTTTTCATTGTTTGTTCCAAGCATCCAGTTGATTTCCTTCCCCAAGCTGAATCTCATGGAAAGGGAATATTTGGTCTGCCCCGAGGGGTCGCACACCTAGCCACGATTAACTGTTGTTCTGGACTCTTCAAAAAAGTGGTCTCTCTTGGTCTACATGTTGATTTCTGTTATGTTTGTTCTTTTACTCTATACTATGCCTATGATATTTAGACTTGTCAACGTGTTCACTTTCACACCGTTAAGAATTTATGATTTCGTCCGGTATCGAGGGTATTCTTTCTTGAGAGGGGACATCAGTTTCGCTGAACCATCTGACCTCATCAATGCACTGTTTCTCCCACCCGCCTAATCCAATTCAATCTCCATGCACATTTCAGTTTATTCCTTTTGACTATCTTCGCGGTTATCTTTCCCAACCGGACGACCCACTACCGAAGCGCATGCGAAGGAACAAGCGAACTGCCAGACGCCGTCAGCGTCGGTATTCCAATATCAAACCCAACTCTAGTTCGAATTTGTTGCTAACCGACTCGCAAACACCAGCGTGTGCCCATATTCCGTCCGAGCTCCACGTCCGTCAACCGAATCCGAGTTCTTCTGGCAGGGTTGCGGATCAGTGTGAAAAGGGTCAAGTTAGTCAAAGTGATGCGTTACTTCCAGTTCTGTCGAATTTCCATTCCTCACGTGGTGAAGCCGAGTCGTACCTGAGTGAAGACAGTTCTGGCGCGTCTTTGTGTAGCTGCGCTTGTGGAGACGATTCTTTCACCGATACTTCCAGTTCCGCCAACGAGGAGGATGAGGCTGATTTCCACCGTGGACGAAGCACGGCATCGCGGCCAACTGTCGGATCAACATCGGGTCCACCACCGTTCTCACCAAGTTCCTAAGCCTTTCCAGTTCTTCCCCCAGTCAATTCTTCTTATTTCTAGGTCTTCCTTCATCTTCGACTGACGGACAGAAAGACAAACAGACTGACGGTTGATAGATTCGCTATAATGCTGACCTATATTTAATCTCATGGACATCAGCCAGCCGTGTTCCTTATTTTTTCGGGCGATGGCCATTCGTAACTATTTTGTTTTGCCATTTTTTCGGTGGCAGATGTGGTTGGTCCTCACGCTCGCCCCTCAACTTGCTGTTGTTATTGTTGCCATCGTCGTAGGTGAAATGCACCCTACGTGTACGTTAATGCGATCTCCAGCGGCTGTTGATTAGTCTGTTATATTTTTCGGTCCTCTCGTTATTCAGTATGCTTCAGCAATGTCTTATGTTGAATGAAATCCTTCCACATGCCGTTTTTTGTTGATCTATTTTGGGGGTTGTCTATTCGTCGTTCTACTCATCTCAGGTCGGTGGTTTCCGGAGGTTTCACGATTAGCGGGCCCGCACATCGCACTTTTAGCCAAGGTTTCTCCGTGAATGAGCCTCGTGAAACTCCCTAGTAGACCAACCTTCCACCAGGATTCCTTGCCCTTGAGAATTGCGGCCACATTTTTGGAAAGCTGGTTTTGAATTGTAGGCATCTTGTCAATATCCCAGCCTTGGTGTTTCCTGTGGGTTGTATGGCAGGGCGCCATAGCTGAACGATCTCTCTCATCCCTTACCACTAGACAAACAGTTTGTCAGGAAATAAGCTCTCCGAATGAAATTGTAAAATATCCCAAGTGCCGGCACTGCCAGTCTGTTCGTTCACCCGTGGACGCTCAATTTTTAGCCGGGGATACTGGCTTTATTTGGATAGGGGGTTAAAATGCTAGTGTCCTAAGTAATAAATAAGCAATAATAAAACGATGATCAGCAGTGCCACTCATTTACCTGACGAGTAGAACTGAAAGCCAAGGTGTACACTAAGAGTGCGAAGAATCCATCTGACAAAACTAATTGATTCGATGTGAAGTGAAGAGAAAGTGCTTGTAGAGTGCGGCACGTTGACAGTTATTGCTATCTTCAAAAAGGGCACGCAGACGCTCTGCGAAAACCACCGTGGCATCGAAGGTCCTCTCTGGTTTAATCCTTCGAAGGTTGAGACAGATTCATGAAAACCAAGCTGGGTTCCGTCCTGAAAAAGGATGCATTAAGCACATTTCAACCCTCCGAGAGATTCTGGAACAGCGACCCTGTTTCCAGCAACCAACAATGGTTGCTGTGTTCCTTCATCTGAAAGCTATCTTTGACTTTAGAGACTGCCAAGCACTGTGGAAGTGTCTATGGGGCAAAGGTGTCCCACGTGAGTCCGATCTAAAGAACTCGCTCCCATTCAAGAGTGGCTTGTATATCCACAATGTGAAAATTGCAGAACTGTCGAAATGCTTTGGCTCGTGATGATTCCAACGGTGGTCCTGCAATAACGATTCCTTCAGATTACTCCCATGAGAATCTTAAAACTAGCCTACTTATGAGTAGTCTGGAAAATCCCGAATTCAGCTGATCGACCAACAGAAAGCTGTGTTAACTCATCCCATTTTTTCACATGCGAATCAGCTTGACTGTCCAGTCTATAAAGGCGTACGCGTATTCGTAAAATCATGCCGTACCGATTTCACACAACCCGAAGTTCCACTGGGTAAAAAATGACAATTGATCAGGTTACGGGCAATGTAAGAGAAAGTCGTTCGACTGTAGCGCCCGTTCAGTGCCTAGCTGCCATGCCACACGAAGGAACCACGAGGACTGAGATCCTGCCAGGTTGCCCAAGCCTAGACAGGGGAAGTCGAGAGGCAGTGGTCGGGTTCGAACCACGGACATTGCGGTCAGTAAATTCGCGCTCTAACCACTCTGTCCATTTCGCGGACAATGATCTAACACCAACTGGGGTGTTTATTTACGGGCAAGCCTAGTAGAACTGAGGTCAAGATAGTTGAAGTTTGTTCAGGACTACTATCGAGTCGGTTAGGACAGCGGACGTGAGCTAAAGAACATCACACCAACTGTCTCAGTACCACAAACACAATGCTTCGAAGCAGGACCGACAAAAACTGTATCAATACATTTTTGAACCGGCTAGCAGTGACACACAATGGATCAGTAAGATCCAACGCTCACTAAGATGTCGATTCACCATTGCAAGCTAGATTGGCTTGATAGGAGTTGATAGCATTCACAGGACTGCACAGAGAGTCTGACTAGCTAATTATTCAAAGTACGCGTGTAACAGTTGATACTACTGACGAAGCGTGCGAGTAGTATGTGGCTTTCTCATAAGTCCGCTTCGCGACTATTGAAAAGTGAGATTTACTACGGAATTTTAGGAATCGCTTTGTAGCATTCGTTTACGTTTGAGTGGTAGTCAGCGAGTATCCAGGAAAGTTCAAAAAGACCTGTTCGAGAAAGAGACGGATACACAGTTTCTATAAACAAGATGCATATGAGAGTTTTGCTTCCCTGTCCAATAGTCTGTAACTGTTCAGTTGGTGTTTTCCAACAAATAGCTCCGCAGCGAAGGCCTTCTTCCTTCCACCTGTAGAGTTACTGAGGATGAAGGTGATATATCAGAATAGAAGAGTTGGTGAAAGGAAACATGAGGGCTGAACTACAGTCAAGTTGCCCGCAAAGTTGGGTTCGAACCAAGGACCTTCCGGTTGGTAAATTCGCGCCTTAACTACTGAACTGTCTGAAGCTCAGGTAAACGATTCGAATCGATCCCGATACATTTGAAAAAAGGGACGCCAAGCTACCGTTCCTAGAGGTGGCAGTCTGACTCCCGCTACAACGCGGCTACTGGAGTAAAAAAAATCGTTCATTGTAACACCCGATGCCTAGCTGCTATGCCACCCGAAGGAACCACGAGGGCTGGGATACTGCCAGGTTGTCCAAGCCTAGACAAAGGAGGTCGACAGGCCCAGGTTGGGTTCGAACCACGGACCTTTCAGTTAGTAAATTCGCGCTCCGACCACTTGAGCCATCTCGTCCCCTACTGGATTAAACAATACTGTAACGCATAACCCAGGCACGTGAGATCCAAATCCGAGAGCATCAAGCAGGATTTCACGCGGCAGAGGTGCATTCATCACACAGTCACAGTACGTCAAATACTGAAGCAGTGCCACACATGCCAGCGGCCAACTATTGCAGTTTTCCTCGACTTCAAATGAGCCTTTTATTCCGTAGATAGATCACTTCTTCCACACATGACTGGCCAAAGAGGAATGTCACTGAGGTTTGTAATGCCTTCTATTCTATTCACGTGGGAATTCACGACGAACCGTTCAGAAGTTTTCCGACAACCACCGGGATTCGCTAAGGTTGGCCTATCCCACTCTTCTACCCCAATTCTGGGAACGCACTTTTCAAGGGATCGAGGGTCCACGTATCGGAATCATATCTAGGGAAACACTAGTAAACCAGGATCGTGCGGACACTTGTCATTTCACCACCATCAGTCCACAAAGTCTATGCTGGCTAAAGTTCCTGAGGTGATGGCTTTTTCATTTTGCGCCCAGATAGTGCAGCGTACTGGTTCAGGATTTTCAATCTCATTGTGTTCCTCTGAAATTTTAGACAGAGGAATTTGTATTTTGTTCACACTCACACCACTCTCGTTTGGACGGTCGTGTTCCCGTTTTGGCGTAATTATTCCGGTAAGTCCACACCAAAGAGAAGCATTGGACTCGAGTTTGGCTCTTATTAGAGCTCATCAGCAGTGCATATCCAATGGCCGTACCGGGATTTGAACCCCGGACATCTGACGTGTGAGGCGGCTGCGTAACCACTACTCCACCAACGCACGTTGGACGTCTGAACAGGCCAACAGGAGAACGACTGTTCAAATGAGAGTGGTGACTATGAATAAAATATCTATCCGCAAAACCCCAAAATTCCAACCAAAAACCTACCCAGTGGGTCTCAAGCGTGTGTCAGGCTACCTGACTGGCAGGTCAATCGATCGTCACAACCAGGACAGTTACTGGGCCATCGTTCGATCGGTCGGGCACACCAATCACATCGCTCAGGTGTGAACACGTTCGCCCGTTCAGACGTAAGAATTCAGATGCATCCAACATGCGCTGGTGGAATAGTGATTACACGCTCGCCTCGCATGTCAGATGTCCGGGGTTCAAATCCTGGCACGACCATTGGATACGCACTGCCGATGGGCTTTAGTAAGAGCAAAACTCGAGAACGGTGCCTCCCTTTGGTATGGACTCACCGGAATAATTACACCAGAACATGAACACGACCGTCCAAAGGAGAGTGGTGTGACTATGAACAAAATACCTATCCCGCAAAACCCCAGACTTTGTGTTTGTCGGCGGATATAACTTACTGGGTAGCTGTATAATCTGTGAATGTACCATGACAGAACGTCCAATTGACGATAATGCTCACAAACCCTAGTTGGACAGCCCGGATAAAGTTTGTTTGTCATTATACGGTAAGTTCATTTCGAATGAGGTTCAAATCCACTGCTGGGTTTACCACGTCGCCTTTCTGAGGTGTAAGATGTGCAACGAAAATATGCTATTCACAATCTCTAATTATATTTCCAACAAACCGGGAAGAAACGAAGTCACAAAGAAGTCAGAAAATCACAGGAGAAAATGCTTAAGAATAGAAAAGTGTGTTTGTATGTCAGCTGTATCTGGTAGTTGTTCTTTCCGTTTTGTTTGCTCATCCTTGAATAGTACAGCATGCTTGTGGGGTAGAGCATACTTGGCAAGCAACCCGATGAACGTGTGATAGTCGTGCGCCTTCCAAGGACGGAGCTTATCTTCAACCTGGAAGCGAAGACAAGAGAAAAGGTTGAGATCCAAGCAGGTAGAATAAGTGAAATATAAGGAGACTTCTCCCTCTTCTCCCTGCGCTTATATAGTTTCTTAACAGTGTCCAGTAGCCCTAAAATGAGCGTCTGGTCTCGAGATGGTATTCGCGTAACTTGATTGGTCCCCTCTGCAACTGCGTTGTGATCTGATTCAATTGTATCTGATTGGTTCGTTGGGCAACTTCAATTCAACAGGTTCGACCCTTCGTTGTGATTGGGCTGATTCCTTCTTGTTTTTTGGTCTGATTTTGTCCCAACCGATTAGCTGATTTAATGGATTTCTATTTTTAGTAGCATTCACTGATCCGACTGGTCTGTTGGTTGTCGCATTCCGCAACACCTCGCTTGGAGCTGAACGTTTTATCTCCTCGTATGGGAATGAATGAATTCGACATGGCTTCGTTCGAGCGTCATGAAAGAACTAACGGAATGAGAGGCCACAGTCGGATGGAGAGTGGAGAACATGTCTAGTTTGTCTTATAGAGGGGTCATCAGACTTAATGTTCAGAGCCTCTAGGGGAATCAGTGAAGAATCCGTTAGCTCACTTACCTGCCGATGTCTGTAGGTAACACTGAAAACGCAATGTTTGACAGGAAAACACAAATAGCCAGTTGAATGTGAAAACTGAAGATGCCGAGCAAATATATTTACAGGTTTCAAGCTGCAATCCAGCGTTTGTCCGAGTACTCGTCAGGAGCCCTCTCCAAAAGAACTACGGTGCACCGAATCTATGCTACTAAATTTAAGGCCAGTAGCACGAATGTCGAACAGTTATTTTCCCGCGGAAGTAACGAGAGCTGGGTAGTCCGTGCAAAGAGATGCTTACACAAGAAGCAGTTGTATACATCTGAAAGGAACATTTACAGGAACACACCAGAATCAGTTGGTTCCCTGGAGCACAACTGAAGAGTAAGATTCCTCTCATAACGGACTAGTCTTGGTCGGTTACTCGCGTGGTCGCTGCAAGTGGGAGGATTGCTTCTTTGATAGCCTCAACCATTAAAAAGAAACTATGTTCGGGAGGTTAAACATCCAGATAAGAGTAGTTTGCTTGCTCTGATGCAGACACGCACGGTGCTTTCAATAGTTGACCAGAAAGACCGTTGTCCATTCGGTGAACTGATAACTGCAGTTCGATTTCACGAAACAGTTTGCTTCATACATCCATCCTTAAACCTGAAAAGGCTTTTACACCAGGAAAAATCTAGTACAACTTGACTTTATCAACCGAAATACTGTCCTAATCTTACGTGGTGAGTCCTGCATGAGGCATCGAAGGAGTGCGCGTGGTTCTAACTTAACTTTTCAAACGCTTCAAGCACGATGAAATAACCTGGTGCGTGTAGATTTGACTTAGCTGAGCGCTTCCTCGATCGAATTCGCTTCCCAGATATACCACAAAAATCATCAGAGAGAACGGGATAAAAAAAATTAAGTATAACACGTCTATTTTCCTTGTCACTTCCAAACAATCCTAGCACGTTTGTAAATGCTTCAGCCTATGGGAAGCAAAAACGGTTGGATAGTGAAACGGATCTTCCTCATCAAGTATTTTACAGAGAATAGACAGAATCAACGGTTTAAACACAACCGACGGTATGTGGGCAGTGTGTTTAAGCTAACATCCAACAGTTCATAGGAGAGGAAGAGAAGTGCACAATACGACTGTTCAACGGACAGTTCGTCACAGTCTTGCCAAGAATTAGGCAGTCATGTACTACCGCGTCCTAGTTGAGAAGCCTTCCGGTGAAAATCTTGTTCATCAAAGAGGCGCTTGTAGAATTTCCTTCCAGCGAACGGCTTTCTCCTTTCAAAGAAACAGTTTATGCGCAACCAAACGGGGCGATACGCACTTCCAATGGAAACCATCTACAGTCTAAAAGATAACACCTCATTTTATTCTTTCGTTCAGCTGTAGCACCCTTTCGGTGCCTGACTGCCACTCCAACAGAGGGATGCATCAGGGCTGAGATACTGCCAGGTTGCCCGAGCCTAGCCAGGGGAATTCGGAAGGCAGAGGTCGGGTTCGAACCACGGACCTTCCGGTCAGTAAAGTCTCGCTCTAACCACTTGGGACATCTCGCCCCCCGTTTTATTGATCCAGGTTAATCAGTTTGTCGTCGCCTCAAATAGTTTGTTGAACATTTCTTAATCGGATTAAGCAATAACTCAGCCATAGATGCGCAGATATTTGCGCAGTTGAAAACACATCTGAAGGATACAGCGAAAGGGCGATCCATGCGTCCGCTCTTCCCAAGTTCCTCCGTGCCTACTCATCAGATTCATCATTGCTGCATCGGAATACCTCCTCATGGTGTGTAGCGAATCTTATTCACGTTAAGCTGGATTTGCCAACCCTTGACTTGGAAGAGGAATATGAAGATCACGAAACGCTTAGGTGCTGTCGGTGCTAATCGCCTTCCAGGATGGGGACCGCATGATTCTCACTGTGCCTGGTTGGAGATACTGCAAGATATGGCTGCCAGCTGATGCCAGTGGCGTTCTTGTTGTCAGTTTCTATCCAGATCGCCTGAGTGAATGTCTGGAAGTGTAGGCACCTCGGAATGATTATGTTAAGCTAGCACTAAGTCCCTCTCCCGTTCTCTTTAAATCTTCTCTTTACAATAATCCTTTCAAATAAATCATGGTTGTACGGCAGTGAAGCATCAGTGTTGAACACTGATGTCATGCTGTCGATGATGACGATGATGGATTGTACAGTGCCTTGTTCCTACACGCGAGGCATTCACACACATTTCCCAGGTGCGCTAAGATGTGCAGATCACTGCTGTCTAAGAGCAATGAATCGTTGAAACATTTGCCTCAGTCGGAAAGGAATATTCTATCCAACTCAGTGCAGAAACTATGCAGTCTCACTCTTGTGTGGCCTTCTCGAACGCAAATACTGTACTACTGAAGGTGAAATTCTCCACTGAATGTTGATGGTCAGAAAAACAGGACACTCCACCAATTCACTGACGAACCGTAAGTCCGAAACCGTGTTGACGTTGAATCATATCCATAATTTGGCAAAGTAATCAATGACGGAAGTCCATGGTAGCTTTTGAAATGGCGGCCACCGGGAATAAACTGTAAAAGGCAAATTCGCCTCATGCCTGAGCTTCTAAAGTGTATGACGGTTACAACAATTTGTGATTCACTCGATTCGAACAGGTCAGCACAACACTCCCCACTACCCGTCATGAGTAACGCTGATGAATACCAAACCTGATAGGTCTCAAGATTAGATGGAGAACCGCTGCGAAAAACCGTATGTGCTTTACTAGGGAAAATCCGGTTGTAGATGAGCGTCATTTTGGAAACGAAGAGGTATTTTCCATGACACAGGGAGATTCGTTTCCTCAGTGGTGTTGCAACGCAAAAAAATATTCATACCGCCAAACGAGGTGCGGTTCTTCTTGAAGGGTCTCCGTCTAGAGGGGTACTCTACTAGTAATCATTCAGCTGTAGCGCCCTTTCTGTGCCTAGCTGCCATGCCACCCGAAGGAAGCAAGAGGGCTGGGATACTGTCAGGTTGCCCAAGCCTAGACAGGGGAAGTCGAGAGGCAGGGGTCGGGTTCGAACCATGGACCTTCCGGTCAGTATATTCGCGCTCTAACCACTTGAGCCATCTCGCCCCACTCTACCAGTAACATTGCCAACATTCTGCGGTTGCTGTGGGTTGGGACAGTGTCCGCTTCCATAAGCTGAGACACAATAAGGCGCCCTGGAGTAGAATGTCAAATTTACAGAGCAAACCAACAACTCCATCTGTTCTCAACTCGTCGCGAAGCAAATTCAGGCCAACGTTAATGAAACAGTCACCAACACGCAGTAACACGACGTCTCTGATCCCTTCAGAGACAATATCACGAAGCTTAGAAGTGATATCGAGTGAAATAGTTAAATTGTTATTCTCGCAAAACCAAAATTAGTTTGCAAATGAGCGCATTTCGCCAAATGGTTATTTATTTTATTCAGTTTGTGTTCAAGGCAAGGAGAATCTCGTGATCAGTCAAGGACGTTTCAGTCAATCACGTGATGTGTATTTTGTGTGATCGAAAAACGAAAGGCATCATGTCTTGTCTAAGTGAAAGCTGATCAACCAGTCATGGCCAGGCGGTTCAGTGTTTCATCACGGATTGTCGGAAGGTCACCGGTTTGAAACTTTGAGTTTCATTACATGCGCACCGCTAATGATTCCCGACAAGGATGAAACACCTGTACAGTGTACAGTAGCCACCTTTCAGTATACGTGCGGGTAGATCCTCCTGATTGTGGGTGACGATAGTAAACTTTCGAAAACTTTTGAACTTTTGAAAATAATTACCTGGTATGGTGTAGCGTAGACATGTAGTTCAGGACACGCACTGCGACGCAGAACGGAGAGGTTTGCCTCGGATGTGGGCCACTGATGTTCCACCCCCGAATGTCCGGCATCCAGCCAATACAAAGCGCGAATATTGGAAAGAAAGCGCTTAGCGCCGTCCGAGGGTACAAGTAGACCAGATTCTCGCAGAGTGTACGGCTTGCAAGCCGAGAGAATGTACAACAGACCGGTTAGAATGCAGCATCCCTTGCTGAATCCAATCACAGTTACCGGGGTGCCTTCGAATCGGGAAGCGATTTCTGGCTGTTGGTTCTGCAGCTTCATCGCGGCGTCTTCAACCAGACCGGATAAGTGCTCCACAAGGTCAGATTTTGTAGGAATTGAGTCGCTCAGAATGGGATTCCCGTTGGGGTCCACTGAAACAAAGTTGCGATAGCTCGCAAACACATTAGAAACCCATTGACAGGGTCGAATCATCCATAGGTGAATGTTCCGCCCTTGGAGAGCATATCTTTCGACAAGCAGACGGCCCGTGGCCTCGAGACTCCAGTTGATGAATGCTCGTTTTGCTGGCTGGTTCTGCATGTTGCACTCGGTATCCTAGGAGGAAGGATAAGATAAGCACAACAACCTACCTGTATATCTCCTCCGATATAAACAACATTCGAAGACGCCGGTCCAGGACGACCGATGAACAGAACGTCATTCCGCAATCCACCGTAACCTGTGCAGTTTAGTAACAGCATTGTGATGAGTCGATCGGAAGGCATTGAAAGTTTTATGTTCCAACTGTAATAGACATATAATATCAAATGTTGGGATCAACTTGCGCCAGTGACCTGAGTGACAATGCTACGGAGAAGGTAAGTGCACCTTGTTCGCTTCATCACATGTGTTCAATAAAAGATGGGCGTTGGAATGCGAAGCGGAATGCTTCGTTGCGATTTGAAAGGAACGGAAAACGAACCAAACGCAGAAGAATGGAAATTGTTACAGAGGAGTAAAGGGTCGGCCAGAGGGACCCCATAAAGAAATTCAGTCCGTGAGTCAATGAGGCGGACCTTGAAGCCCACAATAAGGCGGATAATGGACGGTGTTCAAATTGTTGCTGGTGCGAGCCTTGTCGATCTGGAGTACGCAGATGACATCGCCCTCATCTTTGAAGATCAAAGCGAAGCACAAACCCTGTTGAATCGGCTGATCACCATCACACCATCTTTTGGCATGCGCCTTGCACCTTCAAGGTGCAAAGTCCTGATTCA